TGTTGACGCATGATATTATTTTATATTATTATTTTGTATTTGTGTCGGTTTCGTTCGGTCTTGATAAAGGCGAAATGTGGCCCGATCCCGATAACATTATTATTATTATTATTATTATCACGGACTAAAATTATATTGTGTGACTTTGAGTCAGTCGCGTACAATCAATGTAATCGGCACCGTCTCGCCAAATTTCAATAAAGCGAGATTTTTAGTGTAAGTAAAGTGCATTCACTACTATTATTTAATCCTAATTACTCCTATCCGAGAACCAAAAAATAAAAAAAGCGTTACAGTCCACAACATGGTCCTTCGACGACGGATAGCGAGTAATTTAGATTAATTTAGAGTAAAAAGGTTTAAATAGTGCGAAACCACGTGTACGCGAACTCAATAAGTTAATAAACGATTTAATAACAAAGAGAGTTATTAGTGCATTGGAGTTGGATGTTGGCTGATTGGGGCAAGGAGCGTGCACCGTCGTCAATTCAAAAAAGAGGTAAGAGATCTCCAATTTCCTTAATACTTAAATACTTGAAATTTTTTTATATCGTGGTAAAAATTCCTTATATCTGGGCTTTACCCGGGGTGAGAGTATAGGCGACAATATAATCGATTAGCACGTCCCTATCAGTATTTTATTTGCGACAGAAAATAGTGAACGTATATTCTCTACATCGTAAACCAATTAGTGCGTATTTGGCAAGAGAGAGATAAGATAAGTGATAGTCGACAATTAAATTTACGGTGGGCGATTGCGTTACGTCGATATTATAAAAGTTTTTATTATCGTATAAAATAAGAAATATTATACGAATAAAATAGAATTGTAATAATGAGCGAAATATCAAGTTTGATTAAGTTCCGTGGGCAGCTGAAGGCGTCCGTAACAAGATTTTTAAATTTTGTAACGAAAGAGAACGTAGACGTAAATGAGGTACACGTAAGAAAAGAGAAAATAGAAGGAATCTGGAGCGAATACGAGCGAATCCAATCTGCAATAGAAGAGACGGAGGGCGTAGAGATGAACGAACAAGATAAATATCGAGAAGAGTTTGAAGATATGTTTTTTAAGGCAGTCGGAATAGCCAAAAAATTGACAGAACCAGTGGTCAATAAAAAAGAAGCGCAACCATATCATGGTATTGATGAAGATAGAACGTGCGAACGGAATGACCGGTCAATAGAAATGATAAGCGATAGTAAAAATAATGGTCGACAAATATCGCGTCCACCGATAAGATTATCGGCGTTGAATGTGCCAACGTTTTCGGGCGAATATAACGAGTGGGCAACATTCCACGATATATTTACATCGTTAATTCATAATAACGCGGATTTATCTCCAGTTGAAAAGTTTTTTTATTTACGTTCCGCGGTCACAGGGGACGCGCAGAATTGTATTCGATGTGTAGAGACTACATCAAATAATTATGAAATAGCATGGAATAAATTAAATAAAAGATATAGTAATAAAAAAGTGCTGGTACAAACACATGTAAAGTCAATGTTTGAATTAGAACCAGTCACATCTGAATCGTCGGCAAGATTGCGACAGTTTACGGATGCATTAACCAGTCATATGAGCGCACTGGAAACACTAGGTCACATGCCTAGCAATTGGGGACCTTTACTAGTGCATTTAATTGTAACAAAATTAGATAAAAATAGTAGGCGTGAGTGGGAGACAAATGCACCTAAAGAAGAAGTAGCACCGGTCGAAGTAATAATTGAATTTTTAGAAGCACGATTTAAAATATTAGAAGCAATCGAGACGTGCAAAAATATAAATAATCGACAGGGTGCGTACAAATTTAATAATCATAATAAACAATTTAATGAAAGGTCGTCGTCACTAGTTATAGGAAATAATAAAGGTTGTTATATTTGTCAAGCGCCACATACCATTTATAAATGTCCGATATTTATCGCGTTACCGGTTACAGAAAGAATAAAAAAAGTAGCCGAAATGAAATTATGTAAATTGTGTTTACGACAGCACGCCCCGAAAAAGTGTAATAGTAAGAATTGTTTTACTTGTTCGAAGCCTCATAACACCATGCTACATTTAAGTAATAATTCAGAGTTAAGAAAGTCGGAAGCAGAAAAACCGTCTGAAGATCAAGAAACAGCATCAGCTATCAGTGTACACGTAGCCGCTAACTCGAGCGACCAGGTATTATTGTCAACAGGGGAGGTGTGGGTTCAAAATGAAAGTGGCGAATCGCAAATCGGGCGTGTATTGTTAGATTCAGGTTCACAGTGCAATTTTATAACCGAAAGTATGGCACAAATATTAAAATTAAAAAAGACGCGCGTACAACATACCGTATTGGGCATTGGCGGGAAAAGTCAATACGTGAAGGCGGCTGTTGTAGTGAAGATTCGCTCACGCATTAATAATTATAATTTAACGTGTTCCTGTTTAGTTGTGCCTAAAATTACAAATGCTTTACCATCAGTAAATATTGGAGGGGTATGCATAGTACCCTCTAATATAGAATTAGCGGATACTTCATTTAAAATTCCAAAAAAAATTGATTTGTTATTAGGCGCGTGTCACTTTTTTGAAATATTATGCAAACAAAAGATTAAACCGACAATAAATGGACCAATATTTCAGGAAACTCAATTGGGCTGGGTTGTTTCCGGTTTAGTAACTTCGAAATGTGCAGATAACAAACATAATAATATAAATTGTCATACCGCGACGTTAGTAGATGAAGACAGAAGTGCTAGGTTGGAAATTATGGTATCAAAATTTTGGCGTACTGAAGAGTTTGAGGCGGCAGTGCCATATACTAAGGAAGAGAAAAAATGTGTTGATCACTTCGAAAGTACGGTAAATCGAAAGGAAAACGGTAGATTTATCGTACATTTACCTTTAAAAAATGACGCGAATATAAAAATTGGACCGTCATACGAAATCGCGAAACGTCGATTTTTAGCATTAGAGCGCCGTTTGCAACATGACGTAAAATTAAAACAAGATTATACTACGTTTATGAGGGAATATGAAACGTTAGGTCATATGGAGCTCGTAAAAAATGAAGAAAAGTTTGGTGAAACGTGTTATTTGCCGCACCATGCGGTAAAAAAATGAGAACAGTAAAACAACGAAGTTGCGGGTAGTATTCGACGCGTCCTGTAAAACGGAATCCGGATATAGTTTAAACGATACACTATTGAAAGGGCCGGTTATACAGGACGAACTGTTATATATAATATCAAGATTTAGAACGCATAAATTTGTATTAACGGCAGATATACAAAAGATGTACCGCCAAGTATTAGTGACGAAGCAAGATAGCGAGAAACAACGAATTTTATGGCGCGCGGACCCCTCACTGCCAATACAAATTTATCGTTTAACTACACTTACTTATGGAACAGTACCGGCATCATTTTTGGCAACAGCATGTTTAAGGAAAATATCTGAACAAGAAACGTCATATTTAAAAGCTTGCGAGGCGATTAGAAATGATTTTTATATGGACGATTTCCTAAGTGGCGCGGAAACGATAGAAGAAGCAATAAAGTTACGTGACGAAGTAATTTTAATAATGAAAAAGGCGGGAATGACTTTAAGAAAGTGGTCATCAAATGAACCAAGTATAGTTAGTTGTATATCAGATAAAGAAAAATCGAACGGGTGTATTTTTGAAGAAGAATCAATAACGAAGATACTCGGGCTGTATTGGAACGCTAATGGTGACGCACTACAATACAAGGTAAAAGAATATAACGAAAATACTACAATAAGTAAAAGGCATATTTTAGCGGAGACTGCCGCGATATTCGACCCGATGGGACTGGTCGGTCCAATTATAGTACAAGCAAAATTAATAATACAGAGTTTATGGCAAATTCGTATTGGTTGGGACGATCCATTACCAGATCACATACGTATAGAATGGGTCAAATATAGAAAAAGTTTATCGATGTTAAACAAGCTGACTATACCACGTAATATTGGGGGTAGTCAAAAATTAACAAATATACAAATACACGGATTCGCGGACGCGAGTATCAAATGTTACGGAGCGTGTATATTTTTACGTAGTACCAATGAACAAGGAGAGCACACAGCCAAATTAATATGTGCAAAATCAAAAGTCACCCCACTTAAAGTTATATCATTACCGAGGTTAGAACTATGTGCAGCACTTTTATTGGCGCGTTTAGTGAGCCGTATTGTTCCGAAATTAAAATTAAATATCGCGAAAAAATATTTTTGGTCCGATTCAAAAATAGCACTATCATGGATAGCATCGCCATCGACAAAATGGAAGACATTTGTGGCACACCGTATCGGCGAGATACAGGAGCTATCGAACATAACAGATTGGTCATATGTTAAGTCATCGGAGAACCCGGCCGATATAATATCGCGCGGATGCGACGCAGAGCAAATATCAGGTATGAATTTGTGGTGGGACGGACCGGAATGGTTAAAAAACAACACCGAGGACTGGCCGGTGACAGGAAAAACCAGCCAAAATGATAACATAGAAATGCTACCGGAATCGAAAACAATACGAAATATAGCTCTTGTGGCGACCGGCGAATTTATATTATTCGAAAGATATTCGTCGTTAAATAAAATATTACGTATTGCAGCGTATTGGTTACGATTCAGAGATTTTTTAGTAAAAAAATCTAGTGCATCAGTCGGACCACTGAAACCAGAAGACTTAGAACGCGCAAATATTGGTCTAATTAAAAATGTACAAAATACTTTTTTTAAATCGGAAATACAAAATTTAAAAGATAAAAAGACGATAACGAAAAGTAAAATAATTCTTTTGCGACCGTTTATAGACGATAAAGGCATATTGAGAGTTGGAGGTCGATTAAAAAATGCAAGTACGATAGAGGTATTCCAACGACAGCCTATTATTTTACCAGGTGACAGTATTTACACGAAATTATTATTTCAGCGCGAACACTTAAGGTGTATGCACGGGGGCCCATTGGCGATATTAGCCTTAGTGCGATTGTACTATTGGCCGTTGAAAGCACGAAATATCGCTCGGGCGACGGTTCATAAATGTGTTACGTGTTTCAAGCAAAAACCGGTGTTCGTTGAACCCATAATGGGTGATTTACCTCGTGAACGCATAGAACCATCGCGTCCCTTTAAAGTCAGCGGTATTGATTTCGCGGGACCGTTGTTAATTAAAGACAGCTTAAAAAAGCGAGCATCACTGACAAAAGGTTACGTGTGTATTTTCGTGTGTTTTGCGACCAAAGCTATTCACATAGAGTTAGTAATCGATCTCAGCACAAAATCATTCTTAAATGCTTTAAATAGATTTTTTGATAGAAGAGGTAAAAGCGCGGTAATCTATTCAGATAACGCTACGAACTTCGTAGGCGCGAATCGGTATTTAAAAGAAATTTATAATTTATTTAAATCTACAGAATATAATAGTGAAATACAAAAACAAACAGCAAATGATGGAGTAGAATGGCGATTCATTCCCCCGCGTTCACCACACTTTGGGGGTCTGTGGGAAGCCGCAGTAAAGTCGATGAAAAATCTGATCGGTAAAGTCCTAGGCGAGTCGCATCTAACGTACGAAGAATTAAATACTATACTCACCCGGGTAGAAGCATGCCTTAACTCCCGTCCTTTAACTGAAATGTCATCCGATCCTTCCGACCTAACATATCTTACTCCTGCCCATTTCCTAATTGGAGAATCTCTGATGGCCGTACCGGAAAGAGATGAAAGTACAATGCCGGCGAATCGATTAGACCGGTGGCGTCGTATTCGACAATACTCTCAAATTTTGTGGAAACGATGGAGCCACGAATATTTAAATCAATTGCAAGTAAGAAAAAAATGGTCAGTGGAGAGGGGCCCTACTTTAGGTGTCGGGACGATCGTTTTGATACGTGATGAAAATCTTAAGCCACTAAATTGGAAATTAGGACGGGTATTGTCGGTCCTCCACGGAGAGGACGGAGTAACTCGTACGGCGTTGGTGAAAACTATGACGGGCGAGTACAACCGGGCGGTACGAAATTTGTGTCCACTTCCGTTTAATGATAATATTGGTTGAAATTTAATATGAATATTTGATTTATTATATATTTTTAGTTTCATGTATAAAAAAAAAAAAAAATATATATATATATGTAAGATATCTTCGTCTCCTTCATGTTAATTTGTAATGAGTCAAGGCCAAATGCATGTTTATATTTTTGTTAAAATTAATTTTCTTTATATGTATATCTACAATTATATTACTTAATTTTTTGTGTAAATTATATTGTTTAAATATTAAAATATTTCAAGGCGGGCGGTGTTGACGCATGATATTATTTTATATTATTATTTTGTATTTGTGTCG